GGCATAGTGGAGCGGGGATCACCATCCCCATCCCTACCCCATCCCCGTCACATACCTCGTTTGGAGTAAAATTTTACTCCCCATCCCCACCCCAAACAAAGCGGGGCTCGCCTAATTACCTTTTTAAAGGAAAAAGGGTTCTAAAAAAACCTATCCCCGTGCCGTGTCCGATTCGAGAAAAATTTCGCGCCTCATCCCCACCCCAAACAAGACTAGACGAGGGGATGGTGTCGAGACGGGTTGGATTGCCATTCCTAGTGGTGGTGTGGTGAGGAATTGGCTTGGCAATTTTATCTTTTGTTTTTCTTCCTTCTAGGGTTTGGATTTTAATAACAAGGGTAAAGTTTGCACTTTATTTAATGGTTTGAAGATTTACGGGATTAATAATAAACCTATTAATTAATTATGTAGAGCTTGATTCATAGCTAATGGTTGATTCTATTTTTGGAGTTCATGCGGTTCCATGGCTTTCTGTTTATCATCTTTGAAAATGCAAAGTTCTTCATGGTGCCTATAAATTATTCCATGTTTATAAGGTTAATTTCCCAGTCGATCATTTAGCGGATTATATGAACATGGAGGTTAAGAACTATACCATGTTGTTACTTCATTGCCTTTGTTAGCTCGCACGAGCACTACGTGAGGATTGCTTTGGTTTAGCTAGGTACGAGAGATAGATATGTTTGTAATTATTTATTGGTTTTCCTTTCTTGTAGGCTATCCGTTGCCGTTATCTTATGATTTCCTCGTTACGATCTTTTATGATTTCCTTGTTACGGTCTTTCTCTTGTAACTTTTTAGAGAACTTCCTCGTAATTTTTTAAGGGTTTAGGCTTTTTTTCCTCCTAGTATATTGGACTAGGTTGGTTTGTCCCCTCTTATATCCTTTCACATTTCATTTATGTTAGTTTAGTGTATCGTCCTTGTTCTTAATGTATGTGTGTGTTTGTATATATATATGTCAAAGACTTTGTTATCGAAATAAAGATAAGAAATAAAGATAAAACCAAAATAAGATAAGATTAAAATTAAAAAATTCACTAATACATTATTCTCAATATGATTGAACATTAAAACATATCACATATCAAAAAAATCTGAATTTAGGTCCTCTTATATTCGTCATATATAATCTAGTACTCAAATTTTCAAATCTTTTAATTAAACCTCCAACCAAATATTTTGCATTCAATAATCATACACATATTCACCATCAATCATACGATTGATAGTATCATCCTATAAAATAAAGAAACAATCGAGCAAAATCATGAATTTCAAATGAAAATCATATAAAAAACATGAAAGTTCAAGGACATAGTTACCTAAATCCGTAATTCGGTGACTAAAGCTGAATTTATAGGCGAAAGTAGTGATAAAACTTCAAGGGACGCATGAGGGTTGCTACATCATTGGAATGGAGCAATTCAAACGATGTTGCGATCATCTTGGAGAGAAGATTTTGGTGCGTTGGTTAGAAGTCGGCTGGTTGGGAGCGACAATGGCTTCGTTTAGCTGTTGGCCTTTGCTTCTCTCTGAGGCTGCTAGGGTTTTTTTTTTTTTTTTAGGTGTCGGTGCACGTGCGTGTGTTTGTGTGTGTACGGTAGGATCTATTTATAATGCTATCTAGTTCGATTTATGGCTTTTCTATTTTAAAAGGATTGAGATGGGCGGCCCACTGGGCTTGGCGTGCCTAGGCTTGGGTGTGGCCTAACCTATGCTTGGTCGCTTAGCCTAGGCTCTCTCTCTCTCTCTCTTTAGATATGGGTATTTTTTAGGCGTAAAAATGAGATGATGACATTAGCGATGAATTTTTCTGTTGTTAAATTGCAAGGGATGTGTCTATAAATGATCTGAATATCCATTGTTAAATCGTGATAGTGAAAATAGCGATGGATTTACTATTTCATCGTTATTTTTTCTAGCAAATTCGTCACTAAACGATCTCTAAAACTTTCAAAAAGATTTTACCATCAAATTTAATAATGGATTAGTGTCCATCTCTAATGAATGATTGTTATTCAATATCTATTTTGTCGTTGATTCCAATAGTCGCCATTTGCTTTTTATTTAATCACGGACGTATGATCGTCACTAATTTTCGTCGTTATTTAGCAAAATTTTAGTAGTTGTGATTGTAGTCTTCTCTAGTGTTATAATCAATCTCCATCCTTATAACTTTTAAAACCGAGTGCTAGGTTTTTCTTAGTTTTCATGTTTCGAAAATCGAGTAGTAACTCCATATTTATACATTTCCATTTTTGCGGTAGTCGAGAGATATCGTGAGACAATTATAATAAATACTATGCATCTCATTTAGTTGAATTTTGCTTTGTTTAATTAGTACACATCTTTTCTTTTCTTTTCTTTTCGTTCGTGCCATTTTATTATTTTATTTTTTAGAATTTAAACGCGATACCTTTTTGTAGAAATTCAAGTTTTAACTATTCGAATATGCTTTTTTTGTGACCTCACATCTAATTCATTGTTCATTATTAAAAGTTCAATCATTATTATTCGACCCATTTGGGAATAAAACGAAAGATGAGCGATTAGATTGAAGTCCAATGATCTTAAGCTAGAAAAGTATTTTTATTTTTATGATGAAACTGAAGGAAGGAGAGAGAGGTGCTTGGAAATATTCAAGTATGTAGTGGGTTCGTGAATTAAATATAAAAGTTAAAAAAAAAAAAAAAAGTTATATCATGTAATTAAGACAAATGATTTTATTCGAAATATCATCAACTGTCATAAGTTAATCAATTAAGAAATATACCATGTATGTAGCATAGAATGAGGAATCAGCTTTAGATATATGCAAGAAAAGAACAAAGAAAAGCATCTGCTATCTAATATTTCATGTGAAAAAACTAAGAAAAAGACAGTTGAAGGAGGTTACAAAAGCAAGATCTGAGAGAATACACGTAACACTTGGCAATGGCAAACATCGTGAATTAAAAAAGTTGAAAGAAAATAATAAATAAGGTCCTTAATTATTTCAGCATAAGCAGTACAAGGTTCCTTATCATTGAGCTTAATTTATTCCATTGATAGTACAAGGATTATCAATTTTGTGTTGTGGATTAACACTTTCTGGCTGCCGCGTCTTCAAACCTCCCCCCCCCCCCCCTCTCTTGAAATTGCCAAGTACGAATATAAAGTTCCATCCAAAAAAAAAAAAAAAGAAAGAAAAGATACTGAAAAGAATTACAGTAACAAATTTAATCTTTGATACTAATGTTTCTAAGAAACTTCTTGATTTTTTTTAATCGGAATTGAATTACATAAATACCATGAGAATATGGGATGTTTTACTTTAAGTAATGTTGTATGCCCACCAAATTATTACTAGCTAGGTACATCCAAATTCAATTATCTCATAATTTGAATATTTTCTGTTCTTCATCTGAGCTTATGCTCTGAAGTAAGCAAGCAACTCCTTATCTGCAACTGTTTGATGCCTTAATGTGGCTTACTTCAGAAAGCATTATCTACCAATGATTATTTTTGCTTACATAGAGACATGCATTTTCATGGTGAGACTGCATATAGACCACGAAGACAAGTAGCCTAGCTAGCACAAAAAGGACTGTTCAGGTAGTGACTGACATGCAACACCTACTAACATATCAATGGAAATTGCAGTCTCCCACTACCAAAACACCTAATATCACAATTGTAATTAAAAAAAAATGTAATAATAATAATAATTGATCAGCCTTGCATATAGTTTTGTTTGATTTCAATGCAGATTAAAAGGAAGAATATATTCAAATAATCAAACCATGGCCAATACTAATTTTTAAGTTGCTTGATGGGAATCATTTTCCCCTCTTTTTTTTCCTGTATAATTAATAAAGCTGATCTCTTCTTTCCCAATTTCTAAACAAGGATTTTTTTTTTTTTCAATTTTTATTCCAGAAGTGAAAGGCAAGATGTTGCTGACACCAACATCTGTGTCATTGGGTTTAATTATTTAAATCTAAGAACAAGATCCTCACCTGAAAATAAATATTAGCTTCCCCTATTTTTCAAGCTTAACCTCACCAAATAATAATAATAATAATAATATACTACTAAACAACTAAACCATTAGTTAGGGTTTTGAATCAAGAACTACATTCATCAACTCATGGCACTACGTCATGTATATTTCCATTGTCCACAATCCATAAAGCAAGGATGGCTTTGTAATTTTACCATCGATAGTGTTGGTCTGCAATTCACTACAGTGCCTATTAAAAAAAAAAAAAAAAGACCTGCAATGAAAGCTCTGAACTCATAATTCAGTACACAGTTGCAGTAGAGACAGAGTCCTTAATCAAACAAATAATAATAATAATAAATAAACCAGCGTAAAAATAAAAGGTCTCATCAAATTTTCCAATTCTGTGTTACTGTATAACCTTGGCAGTTTCACCTCGCCGCATCAGTCACAGTTTACAAAGAAAGGATAAACGAGACTTATCTGCATATGCTTTTACACATCCCAGCCTTCCTTCTGCCCTCAACACCTTCTTGTTTCTTCTGTTGAATTCTGCTTTCTGATTTTCAGAGCCAGAGCTTTCTAAACGTATAAGGCACATCTCATCTTCAAGAACTATTAAACAATTTTCCAAAACTGGCCATGATGAACCAGATTTCTGTTTTAGTAACTTCTAAAGTAAGGTAACATATATAGGACTGATCAAGATTTCACATTATTTGAAAACAAAAAAAAAGGATATGACTAATGGTGAAGAACAGCTAAATTCTTCCATTAATTCTCAGTAAAATTTACATTTCTCGAATTGGAAACACAAAACCAAGAGGGAGGAAAGTAGCCGCTAAAAAGGCTCACACACCAATCTAACATGGGAACTCATGTTACAGATTGTACCTCCTCAGAGACCTTAAATCAAAAGCTGTGAGTGAGCACCCTCATAGTCCTAACCAAACCCATCTAAATTCAACACCTAAAAAAAACCCAAAAGGAAGAAAAAGAAAAGGGAGGACCTAAATCAATTGTTTTGACTTGAAGATTCATGGTTGTCTGTGTTTTCACTCCGAGTTTGATGATCATCACCAGTATTCCCCTGTTTCACCATCTCGACATCATTAACATTCTCACTTTTTTCACTACTGCAAGAACAGCTCTTTTCACTACTCGTATCACCAAATGAAGTTGACCTACTAGACATTGGTGTGGCCAAGAAAGTTGGTTTAACTTCACCAGCCATGATAACCAAAATCTTCTCTTCAAAAGCCACAGGCTTTTTCTCACAACCATCACCACTCTTATTCTCTCCTTCTCCAGCTTCAAGGTCTCTTTCACCTCCTTCATTGCCATTGTCAAGGTACCCAGATAGTTTCCAGTAAGAGCATGCAAGAATTAAGAGCGCAAAAGCAATCAAACCAAGCATGGCTGCTAACCCACCAAACAAATATGGTACGGGTGAATGCCATGGTGAGTGTGGCGTAACTGCTCGTGTTTGGGTGGCTCTTTCTGTCACGTTGAAGGGTTCTCTGGCAGCCATTTGTTTTGTTAAGCTGGAGAGAAAAGAAGGAAGGAAATGTATAATAAAGAGAAGAACTTGGCTTTGTTTGCCTTCGAAAGATTAGGTTTTTTTAGGTGGTGGTTTTGATGAGAGGTTGAAGAAAGACAGATAGTGTATATATAGAGGAAGAGTTATAAATAGAAAGACAAGCGAGGGTGGTATTTTTTTTTCTTTTATTATTATTATTATTATTTTGTGATTTATTTCGTCATTTTACATGAGGAAGGTGGAGTCCAGTATCGGGACCCTTTGTCTTTGAGTTTCTTTCTGAATGTTGGGGGGTTTTATTTATGTTACAGTAAAAACGCACTTTGAAGCTGAGGATGGTGTAATGATATCTTGACATGACGGGTGTGTACTGTGTTGTTGGTTTCCTTTTCTTCTACTGTTTCGTTTGTGCTAGTATTTGTACATGTGTATGTATAGCATCTGTTTTGAGTGCTTACATCTTACAACATCCGTATCCTTCTCTACACTTGTGGCAGGTTTCCAGAAATTATCACCACCCTTAAAAACTAGGGGTCCCATAGATACAGTGAGTGAATCTGTTTTGGTGGTTTTTTAGATTAAGTTGATGGTTTCAAGTTAAGGGGCGGTCTTAGATGTTGATGAATCTGAAAAATGCTATCGACGGGTAATTACTCATTATGGGGTGTTATGGATAGAGGAATGTATAGAATAGCATATATAGGATAGAAAGGAATAAGGTACTGTAAATTAAATGTCTTTGGCTCCACCATTTGATTTGTGATGATGGGATCCGAATTGGGATCTCATGATTATATACGTTGTGAGTAATGTTCAATCTGCACTCGCAACAATCCAGATGACTTCTGTCCCATACAATAGCTGCTTTTATTATCAACTTGGAAATTACCATCTTATTTAGAGGTTTCTTTCCAGTATTCTTGATATCCTCTCTCTCTCTCTCTCTCTCTGGAATATTGGCATATAAAATTTAATGTCTTGAAATGGTTCTAAACAAATTTTGATCACTGTATCTTACAGTAATTAAGTGATAACTTCATGTTAAAATCATTTACGTACCTAAATAGAACCCAATATTCGAAACATATGATTCAACCAAGATTAGACATATATAATCTCACATTTGAAATATTTGATCCAATTAAACTAGTAGATCCGTTCAAAAAAAAAAAAAAAAGACACTATCTTTATCTTTTACACCAAAAGCTAGAACGTACTTGAAAAGCCACCATTACTTTGTTGTAATTGTCAACAACTTCCGACCAAGATGATGGAGTTTTAAAGACTATCGTAATAACATTTCATAATAGATCTTCCTTCAAAACTTGAAATCCAAGTACAACTTCATAATTATTTATTAATTTATTCTTGTATAACTTCCTTCTTCCCCCTAAATTAAAGAATTCCTATGTTTGAATATAATTCAAATTGGGGCACCTGAACTGAAATAGTTGCCCCAGACGGATAACTCTTTGCCATATTTAGGAAGGTAAAGAAAGAAAGGATTTCACAAAAGGCAGAGAGAGAGAGAGAGAGAGAGAGAGGGGAAAAGGTGTTGGTGTGCGTGGGAATTGTGTAGTGTTAGAAAGAGACGGTTACTCTCACAACAATGAACAAGAAACCGTTCTTGTGCCATACATGCGTGAGGTTTTGGACTACCCAAGCCACGTCCAACGTAGCAATACCTATGCTATGCTTTGGCTTGTTCGTTCTTTGCCATTTAACTTTTTATATCATAATAAAAGAGGACAACAAAGTTCACAACTTTTGCACAATAATAGCTACAAAGTAACCCCAATGCTTCGTCTTTTCTTTCTTTTTCGTAATTTAAGTCTTTTAAGTAAATTTGCATTATTGGCACTAACTGTTTTGGTCAATTGGGTTGAGACTTGAGATTGACGAGTCCTAGCATAAAGAAGACGAAAAAAAAAAATAGACTCATCACGATGTTGTATCATCCTATAATCTTGTCTCCACATTTTTCCATATATATTCATCAACAAAAAGAAGTTGAAAAATGCGTAGATACTTTGAATTATATAGGTACATTAATTATTTATGCCATCATAGAAAATGTTCAAGAAAAGTATACTACCATACCCCATATCCCCACATCATACGAAATGATGGTGAAGAAATCATAATCATAATAATGACAACAACCACTCTCTTGCATATTCATTCTTTAGGAAGAAACTATGTGTGAAGCAAAAAACTTCACATTCCAAGAGGGACCAAAATGTAATGAATGTAGTAGGATCAGCTTTGTTAGTTCATCAGTTGGGATTGGACCCCCTTAATTTTGCATATATAGGTCATAAAATTATGGAGCTGCAGGATGTGGGATCCATTTTGAAATTAGGACTTCCTCCTCTGGTGATGGCCCCCTCCCCTCCATTAGTGTATTCCTTGCCTGTATTGCTTTCCACCTGTATCTTGCCCTCCCATTTGTAGTAATTTTATGTTTGGCAAACTAGCTGGCTAGCAGCTACCCTTAACCCTTGTGCAGCTGTGTGTGGGGATTGGATAATAAAGCAAAGCTTAACCACTCAGGGGTCGACGAGTTGGTGTGGGTTCCACTTCATCGTCACCTTCCACAACTGAACGTACACGTCAAGGACAAATGGAAATCCTTCCCATACGAAACGATACGTTCAACTTCACATCATTAGACATTAATGAAAACCACCACAGAGAGCAATGCAAGGTACTTGTTTGTGATTGGATTAGAGAGTACTAATGCTGTTGATTAATCTCTCCACTGAGATTATTCTATATTATTTTGCTATGGGTCCTTGGATTGGCACCAAAGGAATAGCTACTTCTATGGATCTATTGAGAGGATTAGAAAAATTTGAGGAGAATAAAAAATCCTAACCAAATCCCACTTCTTTCATTATTTTATGTTATTGTATTGTTTAGTTAACTAAACGTATCTCTCTTCCTTCTAATAGGGTAGAGCTTCTTTTTCTTTTATTTTTTAATCTTTCTGTTTCTTATATTTTAGTTGACAATGAGTCGCATTAGATCAAGTTAAATTATGCTGTAATAGTGGTCACCACCAGGGTGGTTACCTTGCCATTTTCTGTGCATTTTAAGAGTTTCCTTTTAGGTAAAACACCTTGACAATTACATTTAGTTTTATTATAGAATTAAAAGTTAGAGTAATCTTCTACTATTTCAATTTTCAGAGTTAAAGCATTATTCCAACCGAAAGCTTACACCCTTTTTATTAGTTAACAATTGATTTATCTTTTGTCTTTTTTTGAGGTTTGTACCGAAAATGGATCATATTATTAAATCTTAATTGGTGCATTATTTTCACTTACGTGATAGGAGAGTTAACAATCCAATCATACTATTAAATCTTAATTGGTACCGAAAATATTTTTATTCGTAAAAAGAAAAAACAAGAAAAAAGAAAACAATCACAATTGATAAATTGATGTTCTATTATAAAGGGAGAATACTTAATATTTAATTAGCAGCTATTTTTATGATTGTACGAACTTGTTCCCCCCACCAAGTTTAAGGGAGATCCTTTCCAGTCTGCTCAAGTTAGCTTGAAGATAAGCTAATTAATCCCACATCACATGGAACATTATCTTGATATTAAACTTGAGGTTCTTACTTAATTATGAAGCTGTGTATTGATGCGTGGAATTTGATGAGTATATATTATGAAAGAATTAACTTTGTTGGAGTGGGATTGCCACTACCTTCATATATGTAAGTAAGAATTTAATTAGGCTGTCTAGCCAAAGTACTAGATTTATAAAGTGGGCAGAGGTTCCCACAGTCATGATTGATTTTTGGCTGCTTTCGTTTCTCAAGGGAGCTTTTAGTTCCTTTCATACCCTAATTAAATTCATCAAAGTTAAGAGAATAGGTCCTCAAGTACGATTACATATATACCTGTGTGTACTTAATTATGATGCATGTATAGTTATAGAAGTTGTGGTGGATAAGGTTCTTCAGTAGGCCAAGGCCTAGAGATAAGAATAGTTGTTAATTAACTTCACTTTAATTAATGAAAGGCTATGCCTAAACCTTGGTAGAAATCTTTTTTTAAAAAAAAAAAAAAAAAAGAGGAAGAAGAAGAAGAAGTAGGCTATATAGATGATGAGTGCGATACTGTTGGAATCTGTAGTCACAACAACATAAAATATAAAGGAAAAGGGGGCGGAGAGTTGAGCACATGTTCCCTTCTTGGAAGGAAATTCTAATTGTGGAGTTTAATTAGGGTTAGCATCCTTTAACTTTCTTTTGTTTTAGACACAATTAAAAAAAAATGCTTTCTTTTACTAGTTTTCTATTAGAACACTCTTGATTAACGCTATCTAAAAGAGGTTGCAAGAAAGTGTGAAATTGCTAAAGATGGAATTAGCATATAAAATTAGAATATGTATTCTTCTGGCCTACATAACAGTAGGGGAGCTACGAGATAAGATCATGCAAGGTTGGTCACTATGCATGTGCAAAGTAACTTATTCAATCCATCTTTATTACATGCTCAAATTATTAATACAGTACCTGATAACGTTGGAGAAACTAATCAAACAAATTATCTACTCAGAAATTTTATAATACTTAATAAATACAATAATTATTTTATAAACTTACTCTATAAATAAAGATAGATACAAAAAATAAATAAAATAAAAAATAAAAAATATATATAAGAGAGAAAAAATAAAAAAATTGAGTCAATATAACAATTTTTTTTATCACTTTCAATACATCTAATTATATATATATATATATATATATATTTCTTTTCTTTTATATATATATAATTTTTTAAATATTATAAAATTTCTCGATCTGCTGGTGGATACAATACCACCAAAGGCAGAAAAAGAGCTCTCCGTTATAAAGGATTGAAATAATTGCATGCATTTAAAAATATATTTAACGAAACACAAACTTTGATTGAAGGTAGGACAGGTCCTTTGGCCAGTCATGAATGGCCACGAGGGGAAATAAAGGAA